ATGCGTTGCAGTGTTTGATATTCAGGCTTTTCAATCACCACCTAACAGGCGATAAATACTCTTTTCAAAACGGCAATATAATAAACTGCGAATGTTAAAAAGTGACTGCTCGGTCATTGCATCGCAAACATACAACAGACATGTAGAAACCCTCGATATGAAACAGTAGGAAGTATGGAAAAACATTAAACATGCGACGCCTTGTGCAAACTTGGTGGTCTTGCCTTTAGTAACCCATAGATCTGGGGTGGGTAAGCAGAATTTTTGTCCACCTTACTCATCCTGCTGTTGCTGCCGTGGCCTGCTGGTGGTGGTGGTCTCAACGAAATCAGACACTGATACGACGAAAAGGTATAGTCATTTAATCCAAGAAGCATATAGTTACATAGTCGGTGTCCATTGTTTGCAAAAGTTCACAAGTTCGTCGTTGTGGTCTGATGAGGCAATTAACGGCGTGTGTTAAACGTCGAAAATGGTGAAAACTCGACTACATTTCTGAAATATGTTGTCAAATCAAGAAAATATCAGTTACATGCTAGCCTTCCAGCACGAATGTGGTGATACATCTGAAAATATCTGCCTTGGGAAAAATCCCGTTTTCGTTCTTTTTCTAATAATCGCATAAATGCATTTAGATTTTCTACTATAAATGCACAAACCAGTCATCCACCATGTTAATTTCCCTGGAAATTTCATCGTCGTTGCCACTATTGCATTGATCGTTTTCGTCACCAAGATTACCATCTGCCTTCTCTCTCTACAACAATCTTAACTACACAAACAGCACCGTGAAGATCAAACTGGCATAGAGTAAGGGAGTCATTTCTAAGTAGGGCGGTGTTGGACTGCTACTGGGGCAGACACTCCGATCGGCAAGCCGATTTACCAAAACGATAAACATCCTGACGTTAACAGTCAAGTAACCTTTCTTTATATATGAACACCACTGCCCTCCTCTGCATTGTCATCAGTCATTATCAAGCATTTTCTCGATACTTCTCATTACCGTCAGCCCGTGTTGGAGAAACATAATTTGACGTTGGTTGTAGTTCGGCGTAGCACATGCCAACGATATGTCTCCTACAGCTGCCCGCCAATAGAAGCTTTGCGTCACCCAGTGCATAGTGGACGGGATCATTAGTGGGGATTTTTCGCAGTCATTTCCTATCCCTAGTAAGCCCCATGCCTCTCCGTCACGAAGAACACACTTATCGGATAGACTCAATGCACACGGGCTAGTCGGTTCACAATGGGCCCAACCGTTTAGCATCGATCAAGTGTATGGCCCTATTATCCGGAGTTATAGTGCATAACCACCAACCAAAGGGGTCCATCAGTGTCTGTGCGTTTGGTAGGATGGTAGTTGGTAGCCCTGCCCACTGATTCTACAATTGTATTTGCTGGCTCAATTTCAAGCTCTGTGATTACGTTCTCATTATGTCTGGGAGGGCACGCGCAGAAGCCCTGTCAGGAAGACTTTCTTCTTCACTTTAACCGCCCCAAGAACGAGGCGCTGCAAAAATGTCTATATAGACTCATTGTATTGCACCCCTACATAGAAATATTTAGTAAAGGACGAAAGATTTATCCTAGGCGGATAATGATTCATCATGCTTCTCATTATGCTTCTAATTGCATGCGCGCACTGTGTTACCTGTATCTGATTCATTTTAGAGGCACTATCCTAGGCTGCATACCACAGTACCCAGTGTTACCTGAAGGCATAACCATTTGTGTGCTGTCGCAGTATTTGTAAGGGCATGACCTTTCGGCATCTACATAAGACCCTACAGGTCAGTAGTCCTTTCTGCTGGAGATACTGCACTAGGTAGGACGACTGGATTATTTCCAGCATCCGCGAATAATCTGTCGGCCTATCCACTTGCGGTCCTGCTTTCCTTCGCCTTCTAAGAGGCTGAGCTCTGCAAGCAGAACAAAGTGTAACTTCATATACAGAATGCTAATTCCTCTTTACATTGTATAGTACACCATTCACATATAGCAAACAACTACTGCCATAGTTTTAATCCTAGATGTGGCCACAGTGACAATACACTATCATTTGCAGATTTTCTCTTTCGCCCAAACATATTTTTCGCATTAAAGTCTTACCCCGCTTGTGTTATGCCGTCCTGCGTGCTGCTGCTTGACTCACGTGTTCTCATATCCATTCTGTCGGTTAGAGTACTATCGCACATACAGCGGAATGACCTTAAGACACACTGCCTTCTTCCTATTGGTTGTTCGCCCTCACTTGCTTTTCTTTCCAATCTGGGGCAAGGATGCATTTATTCCGCATACCGTACTGATTATCCATGCTTATTTCTATACCCTCCTTGCATTTTTCACCTTATTTAAATTAGGCTTCCACTTTGCCAGGAACGTCAAATGCAGGCATACCCTACAAGCGCCATTTATGCCTTCACTCATCTGCTCCACCCGCATAGCCCCTATTACCACCGGTCCCTTAAGACAGGTAGCTGGGAGTTTTCGGTACCGGTAGGGCCACCAACTACCATCTAACCGTGCGTTTCCTTTCGCGTTGACGTTTCTAGGGTCGGCCGCGAGGTCAGTCAGGCAGCGTCTATTTCCTTGCACTTTCCTTGATGTCCTACCGATATTTCGATCGTCGGTTTTAATGATGCACACCGTATGCCCCACCGCAGGGTGGGAGCAGGGACGGTGACTTGCGCGGGGGTTTATAGCGCGAGTAAATTTGCGCTGCATTTACCACACTCTCCTCCTCCACCTGAGCCCGGTGTCAAGACAGAGTCAAGAAGACCGGAGACGAAGGAGGGCGCAGGTGGATGGCTTGGGCGGATCCGCACCTTGGCGCTCCACTCCACACCTCCTGGTCCACACAAAAAAGGACCAGGGTTTTGACCGACAAAACAATGCGGGGTGGCAGTGGTCCCAGTTTGTGCGTCGACTGCCGACAACAGGGTCTGCCAGTGCACCCCCTGAATGCTGGCATTTGTTGTCGCACAAGATAACGCCTGCCAGAATCCGATCTGGCCCCCCGTGTTGGTCCAGCGCATCTACGACGTGACCCCTTTGGGGGTACATGCAGTCCTAGCACATATGTGCATGTAAACGTAGGGAAACCTGTCTTCTCTGCCAGCTAACGATGACTAGTGGTGGGCTGTTGGTTTCTTATTCTGTCCAACAGAAAATTTTTCCGACCACTGTTACATGTTTCCTGACATCTTGGTCATATGTCAACATGTGACATGAACAGGCGACTCGACCGACCCATGTTAAATTGCGTCAGTCAGTGAACATCAGCTCGTCAATAAGTGTCAAGCTGTTGCCTTCGCTCTTCTCCACCCTTCGGGTTCCGCCAGCGCAAAGTGCGCCGCTGCTCCAACTGTCCTACGTCGTCAGGTTGTTCTTCCGGATTACAGAAATCACCAACATCTGTATCTTCCTGATGAGTTTGATTAATCTCATGCCCTGCCGCACCTCTTACGTACTTACCCGAACCACTTACACGAGTAAACGTCAGACCATCCAGCCGCCCCTTGCCTGTACAAAATGGAGGCCACCTCTTTAGTCTCGTCTGCCAGAATTTCAATTTCAAACAGTCACTAGTGGGTGTAGGTGGGGTGATGGCCCTGGTAAGCGGCCGTAATATGCATAAGGCGTTTCTGTTCTCTATGATTTAGTCAGAATGAGCGGCTAAGCCAACTGGCCAGCAGTTCGATTAACCGGAATCCAATGTACCAAATAACGAGTATGTATGTCTCTAATTTGGGCTAGATGATGGAACTTTGAAGCTCAAGTTCATCAAGGTAGCCAGTTGTGTCTCCTAGCTGCATGGGAAGCTTAAGCCTCGATCTTTGGTAAGGAGGGCAAAATAGATTTATCATGCCCTGAATCAGTTGTTAGCATGCATAAACTTTGGCTTATCCGTCGCGACTGCTGACTACCCTCAGTACGAAATCCCTGATTTTCATCCTTCGGGTGGTCTCAGAGACTTAGACGGTATCTTTTGAATAAAATTCGTACTGGCATTCAACAGACATATGACAATTAATGTGAGGTGCAGTTTTGTCAAAATCAATACGTAAGTACAAGAGTAGGGTGCATGGTATGAAAGATGGAAATCAAGAACAGCCTGTCAAAATACACAAATATAAAGGGGTGTGATGAAGGTAGGTGTAAGGGAATGTCTCACATTTATCTCTTCATAACAGTAGATCTTAGTTTTTTTTCATTACGAAGGTTTTCCCCTCCAACCTGGGTTTACAAATTCATGTCGCATAAACAGGGGGCGGACCTTTATCTCATTCAAATCATAACAGTAGACCATGCGCTGATGCATGGTGTAGGGGTCTCTCTATATTAATCTTTGTCACAGGCCAGTCAAGGCTGGGCCTGGTGTAGGCTGCTGTCTTTCAGCAAGGTTTGGGTTCCGACAAAACGACCACCAAACCATTTTTAAGCGGTCTTTTCTCCGAGAAACCTCTGGCATTAAATAACCAGCAAAAGATATACCAAACTTTTTGTGAAAATCCAGCATCTGAATTTCTGCGGTAAGATCGTAAACAATTTACATGGACAGCCGCCTCCCAATAACCTGGAGCTTAATTGTACACGCGTACCAATGTATTTGGCCCCTTCCCGAGCAAAACAACTCCGAAAGCGGCGGCGAAGATTACGGACAAGCGGCCACCTTATTGTCTGAAAAGCGACCAAGCAAACAGTAAGAGAGACGGGCCGGCAAAGAAACCCAAGCCTGAGACCCCAACTGCTCCCAGTTTCTCTACGTTGTCATTCTGCCCGGCACACATTAAACTAAAGCCAGTAGTTGAGAAGACAAACGTGAGTACGTTAACTGCGCAGATGGTTCACAGAAGAAATTGCGGTGACATTTGTAGCAGCCGCTCCGGCTCCGTTTTGTCGGTCGATGGCCGCGACAATCGTTGCCAGGCCGCTGACACACAACCAACTACGCTGATTCTTGGGGATGGTGAACTACTATCACCGTTTTCTTCCCCATGCAGCCTCTCAACAGCCTGTTGATCCACTCCAAGAAGACACTAGTGATGACCGAGGAGGCCGTCAGGTCCTTCAATGACGTCAAGGCCGCACTTGCCAGCGCAACATTGCTTGCCTATCCTCGCTCAGATGCTCAGCTAACTCTCATGACAGATGCTTCCAGCACTGCCGTTGGTGCGTCACTTCAGCAAACTGATAGTGGTGTTCTACAGCCTCTGGCTTTCTTCTCGAAGAAGCTCAACCTAGCAGAGACTCGCTACAGTGTCTTCGGTCGAGAACTCCTCGCTGTCTATCTATCCATCCGGCACTTCCGCCATTTCCTCGATGGTCGTGAACTTGCTGTTCTAACAGATCACAAGCCACTCGTTTTTGCACTCAGGGCCTCTCCCGATCGATACTCGCCCCGTGAAATTCGTCATCTAGACTTAATCTCACAGTTTTCCTGCGGCATCCAACATGTCCACGGTAAGGAAAGTGTGGTTGCTGATGCTCTTTCAAGAATCGAGATGGCTTCCGTCATAGCAGACGCCATAGACTTCACGCTGATGGCTGAGGCTCAACGATCGGATGGCGAACTCCCCCAATACCGCCACGAGGACTCTTCTTTACGCCTCCAAGATGTCCCCCTTCCCACTGGCACTGGCACCATAACGTGCGACCTTTCTACCGAACACGAACGTCGTTTCGTTCCAGCAACTTTACGACGACGAGTGTTCAACGCTCTTCACAATCTACCCCACCCTGGAGTCCGGGCGACAGTGAAACTCATCACTGACCGATTCGTCTGGCCCAACATCAACCGGGATGTACGGCGTTGGACCCGATCCTGTCTTTTGTGTCAGCGGCCTGACACCGATTGTCGCGGCCATCGACCGACAAAACGGAGCCGGAGAAAAAGGGGGACTGGAGCGGCTGGTACATATTCACTTGGTCTGAACGAGCTACTTCGCCCTGCTTCTTGCAATAGTCTCCTGTGACTTTCGGTGTTCATATTATACTAAGGACTGACTTACTCACTGACTGTAAATGCTGGTAAAACGATTTTATTTCGAGATAGTTGACCATCTAAAGAAAGAGCGTCTAAACACCATGACCGGAAGACAGGCGAAAAATTCATATTTGGGCTGAGCGATACCATGAGCCCTTGTTTTTCCTAAACAGAGGCTTCTCAAAGATAGACTGACTCCTTTTCGTTTCGAATGTTTGGAGACTAATGCTATAGCATTTATTTGGCAAATACCCCTTTCGGACACAATGCCTCTTAGTTGGAAATAGCAATCCTCGCACTGAAATTGGCACCCTTTTGGGAGACGACCACTATGGACCGGCCAGGGACTGAATAACGGTGGTGAGCCGTAGAAACTAGTAACTGCATCAGGCGTATTCGGTGTTCTCTTTCTGATATTCATGCCACCGACTGGACATCAAACCGATGCGGGTAAACACAGCGCATGTGATTAACAGGGGAGGTCAAACATAAAAGTTGAAAGTCCTGTAAAACCGAGGTTTCACCATTTGTCCCGCGATTCAGTCGGTCATTCTCGGGACAGAATGTGTGGGCGTAAACATTGACATTGGCGCATGCTAATCTGGTTGATGTTTAAAATCAACTGAGGCCTGTCATCCGGCAACAGATGTCGCTAACAGGTGTGCATCCAATACAATATTTTATGTGCAAATGAATTATTCACCAACGGCCAACGGACAGCAAATGTAGTCACTAGGGTGAGTCATGCAGTATTTGTGCACTAATGACTGTCTGTGGACAGCTCACGCGTATTACGCAGTTATTTCACAAAGCTGATTAAGTTTCGTCCAAATATTTACATCAACTACTGAATGATTTACCATACTAACAGCACAGACATTAGCAGGAGGTCCAGACAAGTGTTTTGCCAATATTCAGCAGTTAAATTACGCAGCTGCGAGGGGTTCGACTCACCAGGGGTTCCCCCTCCCCCATCGTCCCTATGTGCTTTCTGGCACATAGACTTCAATTCCCATGCTGTCGTGTTCGGTTCCCGAGGGAATTACTGTGCTTTCACGCAGCTGATCCTTGGAAAACTTTCGGACTGAGCTTAAGAAGACTTACTACGAAGGTTTTGCTCAAGATTTGAACACTGATTTCTGATGAAATCAAAAAGTTCATGAGGTATCGGTATAGTTCCAACGCTGCTGAATGGCCTCTATATACAAATACTACCACCTCTGCATGCTGTCAGTGGGGTGATTAGCTCAGACCGGTGTTCTCTTTCATGTCGAGATGCTCACTGCCTCTCATTCATTCCGGTATGCGTTGCATCAAGTAAGGTGTCGCTGGTAAATGTCAAAATTCTCCTTTTTCTCACCTGTTCGGCATCGGTACATAGCAAGACGTCATTTAGATTTTCAAAGTTGGCGACAGTTTCAGTATTCGTTGACTCTGACTGTGATTTTCGGCGTATAGAGGTGAATATTCGAGTTCCAGGAATATGCCGAGTAATGAAAGAAACTGATGGTGCACTGGGATGGTCAGTTTTTTTTTATTTGAGCCTTCGAACTTGGAAATGAGTCCATCGTCAGAGATGACAGCAGCAGCAACAGGGCAAATGGCGCCTGCACCGGTCAGCTGCGTTCCCTCCAGAAGCCAGCATTTAATCAAATTCCAGTTCCTTTTGCTCGTGGCTCCAACAGTTGTCTCGGCAGCTGCGAAACTGACCTCGTAACCGGTCTTGAAGGTGTTGGCGGTCATTCGTAATGATTGGTCACCCCGTTGCACAGCCAGTTTGTGTACGTGTATGCGCGATTTAACCTTACTTTTTATGTGACCTGTGTGGTCATTTGGACTACCCGGACGTGGGATAAGATACACTACGCCGAGCCGATTGCTCGGTTTGATCGGTTCTTGATCGTAGTGATGCCGGCTGAGCGTGGTAACTTCGGACCGGTGTGGAACTCCAGCGACAACTTCCACATAAATGTCCTCGGGCGCCTCTGAGACGTCTTTTAGACATGACAAGGAGTGACATATCGCCGGTGGAGTTTCTGTTTGGGGGCATGGGGGCGACGACGTAGGCATCAGTCTATAAATGCCTTTGGACAGTCAGTCCACGCAAACTGCTCGCAGGTATATCGATCCGCGCGTGCTTCGTCCTCTGAGTTGCTGCATTGATTCCGAATGCATTTGAAGAGCTTTTTTAAACAGCTTCGTTTGCGTGCCACCAGGTGGTTACTGTAAAATCTGGGAGGTTGTGTGGTGCTCAATGTTCCTACCTTCGCCGTTAGGACCTCGCCTGACGAGTACACCAAGAAGGGATAGTAGTTGCTCTTTCCCTCTTCCCCGTGGACTATAAATCCAGGAAGAGCCGGTTATGCAAATTTCGCAAGATGCTGCCTGTGGTGACAGAGGCGTCTTATCTTTAACGGAGATAATAGGCCGGCTTAAACTGACCGACAGCGGTTTTATCTAACTCCTACAGAACCAGTTCTGGCTAGATCGCCGTTGGTAGCCAGGAATGGGGAAGCCGACGACGAACTTAACTCTAATCCTAACCTTAACTCTAACGCTAACCTCAACCTTAAACGTTAACCGTTAACCCCAACGGCAACCCTAACCCTAACCGAAATCGTAAACGTAACCGTAGCCCTTAGACATAGTCGTAACTGAAAGACCTAATAATAATACTGAAACCTATTCGTACGCTCAAACCCTAACCGTAACCCGAAAACCTTATCCTAAAGGCATAACCCTAACCCGAAAATCGGAAACCATAAACCGGTACCCTAATCCTAACCCAAAATGGAAGGCAAATGGGTCAGATGTGATTATGGAGCCCTACAAAATAGCCCCAGTAAACAAACCCCCCTCCCCCACGCCGCCTGTAATACGGGGTCTGGCCACCAACTGCGATCTAGCCCCAGTCCTACCACTAAGTCGTAGACTGGGGAATCCATTGAAGTTCCCTCACTCACTTATAAGTTTCTCTAACAAAACTAAAGTATACTTTCTTGCATAGTTCGAATCAACTCATGAGGTTTCTCATTTTGAGTTGGCCCTCAACTTTGCGTCTTTCAGTTGTTGCGCAGTAGTTGGTGCACCACATCTGGTAGGATGGATGTGAATCAAGAGGTCGCATTGGCATAGGTCCTGACTTTGTCTGACCGGATTCTCCAACCCCGAATGTCTAAAGGAAGAGTGAGGTTTATTGGACGGAGATGTTCGAATTACCTTACAGAAAGTCCATTTTCGAGCACACCCACTCCGACTGTCTTTGCGACCGTAGTGAAAGAGTTGGTTTACGGGATTTTGCTGGACCATAGAATCAGCCCGTTGCTTTCATTTGACTTGCTGCTGCTTTCGCCTCTGTGGTCTGTATCCTTTTGTGTCATCAAGAGGAATCCTGTCCCTCTTGCCGTAACCCTCTCCGGCCATGACAAGGCTTGTTCAGGCTTTGTCAGGGGATGGTTGATTATCTTCTCAAATGATTTCTGTGCTTGATCAGCCCCCTTCCCTACTTAGAACTCTTTTTCTCAGGATGGAGTTGGAGCCCCAACACGCTCTAGGTACCTCCTCGTCCAATCAGAGAAGGAGAAAAATAATCTTCCTTTACATTTTGATCAGTTACCAAGTTTAATGGCATATGGTCATTCACTTCAATATTCCACACGGCTTTACAGGCTTGCGATTTAACAGACGAATAGTGTGGGTGAGTTCGTCTCACCCCGTCACATCAAGGCACTCGGTGCAATTTTGGCTGTAATATCTGGATGTTTGGGAGAGGGAGAAGGGGTAGTTTAGGCCATTGACAGGACAAGCGGAGAGCGAGAGATTACGCCATTAACAATTGACATGATCGGTAGACTATGGTAGACGCTAAACCTGCGAAACGTTCCAGCGTCGGACGACCGAGCGGTCTGGTCATATGACCGTTGTTTATGTCGTTGTAAGGATACGGTGCTTCAAGCCAGACACACAACAAAACATTGTCAAGGCTTCCCCTGCACCCAAGCAATAGCTCGTTTAAAACTGGTGTTGTAGGGTAGAATTTGAAGAGTCACTCCCATCAAGCATTGTTAGCAAGACCGGCAAATATTCTTCAATCTTCTTCCAGAACCGCCCGATTGTCTGTCAGTTCCCCACTTAAGAACCGCCCAATTTTCAAAAGGACGTCGTTATACACGGTCTTGACCATCATAAAAACATGTTTACTCAATTGCAGCAACGAGAGCATTATTTGAATATTGCCTGTCAAAGCTTCCTCATACAAAGGAAGCTCTTTCTAATTAAAAAATGCAGAGAAGCAAGTGTCGCACTAAGCATTTCAGTGCAGTCTTCGTTTTTTGAGATTACTCCCCTGTAGAATTAAACGGCGCCCTGGTTTTGAGTATTAAAACCTTCAAACGAAAGTTATTTTTAGTCATTTATTATGAATTTATTTATATTCTTCTCAAAGATGAGGAAGACAAAGAGGATTTCAATAAGCTCATGCTAGGTCGTTACGCCTACATGGGAGGCATACAAGTCAGCATCTAAATGAACCGGATTTTGTCAAAGTGTCCAGTGTAGTGAGACTGCAAAAAATCAGGATATAAATCCACCCGATTAACTATGACTAATTAGATCAGTCCTTTGCCCATCTCAAAAGTTATTCAGTCAATCCGGGCAAGATTCTTGTATTTCATACTGTTTACGATGGGACCATAGATACAGATGCCCTTTTGTTTCAAACGTCCTTGTCTTTGCTGTCTCACATTCGAGAACGTGCTGTGTACCAACTGCTACACATGACCTATCCAACTTGTCTCCATCTGGGTTTCGCAGTCCTCTTGAAAGTGGAATATGGTCTCCCCGTTGTGCGAAATTGATCAGCCTCAAGGCAACCGATTTTTTAAGCCGGGTTACTAGCGCCGAGCTAAACAGAACTCTTAGATTAATGAAAATGCAAAACAATAATTTGTCTGGCCTGACATTTCCTTTTCAAGTATGGGCCACTCCAAA